CGGCGGGGGTGGGGTGGGGTGGGCGGTGAGGAGAGCAGGCGGGGAGAGAGAAAGCCAAGGAAGAAAGATCTACATGTGTCCACGTCACCTCCAAAGGGGCAAACTCAGGGCTGCGGCGTGATCGTGTGCGGAAACACTGCCCAGCGTGAAGGCGGGGCGTGTTCGACCCACACGGACGCGCGGGGCCTCTCGCACTCTCAAAGCCTACAAGACACGCGTGTACCATGTCTACCGACCGATACGCCGCCATTGCACGGAGACAGCTGAGCTCCTGGTGGCTCTGCCGGGTTAGGGCAGTCGGTTCCTGCGACAGCCCTGTGAGGAGTCGGCACTGCCGGCGGCTCTAGTTTCTGAAACGGGGCAGCTGAGGCCCAGGGGGGTGGTGGCCGTCCAGCCTCACACGGCAAGCCCGTGGCAGAGCAGACGACCCAGACGGGGGGATCCGCGCACCTCCATCCCCGGGGAACTCGTCCCAAGTGTCTGCTGGATGCCGGACCATCTGGTGGCGCGGTTGCCACATCGGGGGCCCACTACCCCCGTGACGATGGAGAGACGGAGGCCCAGTGCAGAGCCGCCAGCGGGGGGGCAGGCTGACTTGCTGTGAGAGTGGCCCGTCCGGTAACTGTGTCCCCGGCACTTTGTTCACAGCCTCTCACGTGACTCTCGCAGCTGCCTGGGAGGTGGGGGCTACAAAGGGCCCCTCACAAGGGACCTCAAGGGAACCCCCATTTTGCAAAGGAGAGGACAGGCTCTGCAGAAAGGGTGTGGGGCCAGGACACTGGGCCCTCGAGCCCAGCCAGTGAGCTCTGGTGAGCGCAAGGCTGGGGACTGGCCCGTGGGCCCCCCACCCCTGTGTTGGTTTCGCTCATGAGGCCAGCTGGGGCCAGGGTCTTATGGGGCAGGAGCTGTACAGAGCAGCACATGTGAGCCGATGACATCATGTCTGCAGGGGCCCCTTGGGGTGCAGCCCAGCTGCAGGCACCCGGCTGGAGCCTCTGGGAGGGGGCAGGTGATGGGGCCAGGTGGGCCAGATCGGGAGGGCGGTGATGGGGGTCTCCACAGCCTCCTCCTGCACACCCTCCACACAGCTCTGGACGCCAGACATCAGAGCCCTGGGTCAGAGCGAGGCCCCAGGGCCGGGGCTTCTCTCTGGAAGCCGAGGCAAGGCAGGGTGTGTGAGGGAGAAGGGAGTGGCCTCCAGTGGTCAGCAGGTATGAGCGGCAACCAGGGGCCAGCTGGAATCCGCTCAGCAGTCCCAGGTCCTCTTCACATCCCCATTTCACAGATGAGGAGAGGTGTCTCCGAAGGCGACACTTGTGGAGGTCACAAGTGAGGAGGCGTTCAGAGTTCAGACTTGGACCAGAGCCGATGGACTCGCGGCCCAGCGCCGTCTCTTACACCTGTCAGGGTGGGAGGGTGGAGACAGGGAGGGAAGATGGACTGAAGGGGGGGGTGCTGCCTCAGTCCTAGAAGGCTTCATGGAGGAGGGGGCTGGTTCATGTTGGGTCCTGAGGCCTCCCACGGGGCGGGGTCAGTTGGGGCCTCACCAGTACCCCTCACCTCTGCAGGCATGGCCTCCTCCCGACGGGCTCCCTGCGTCTGGCCCAGGTCCAGGTGGGTGACAGCGGCAGCTATGAGTGCATGGCCAGCAACCCCGCAGGCTCTGCCTCCCGCCACTACGTCCTCCGGGTGCAAGGTAGGTCCCAGCATGATGGCCTGGGTTCCCCGGCCCTGCCTCCCATCGCCCTGCCCTCCCTGCCTCTCAGGGCACTGCCCCCCACCTGTCAGGCCCTGTCACCTCTCCATGGTCACCTCCACCTCCTGACTTCCCAAGGCCCAGCCCCCCTTCCTCACGCCCTTCTCCACCTCTCCCTGTACCCCCCTGTGCCCCTCAGCTGGAGCCTGGAGAGGCAGTTCATAGCCACCCTGTCCCCGGAGTAGAGGGCAGAGTCCGGGGTGGACCTAGGTGGGGAGGCAGTTGGGGATCAGAGACCCTGAGGGTGGGTCCAAGAGCACATCTGAGTCCCAGGAACCAGAGAGCAGCAGCCTTAAGAGGCTGCGGGGTGCCACTCGGAGCCCCCTTCCTGCCTGGAAACCCAGAGCCCCCAGGGAGCCCCTTTCCGACTCCCGCTGCAACCCCCGCCGGGTCACGCGGCTCTCGATACCCCTGACGGGATCCTTGCTGCCTGGTGCACGCCTCCGTGCCAGGCGCTGCGAGGGCCCTCCATGCATGCGCCCCCCTCTCCACAGGGCTCCCGAGCATCCCGCGGGGTCCTGGCTCCCTGACAGGGAGCTGTGGGGTCTCACGGCAGACGTCCGCCCGGGGGGCCAGGCGCCATCTGGAGCAGCTGGCCGAGTCCTGTACTGGGGGCCCTGGGCGGTTTCTACGTTGTTAGATGACTGAAGAAAAATGTCAAAACCAGTAAAGGGACAGTGTTTGGCGACATTTGGAGATGATGTAAAATTCCAACGTCAGTGTCCACAAGTGTGCGTGGGGGGTTAGAACGAGCCAGTGTCATGGTTGTCAGAAGGTTTGATGACATCCAGTTCTCAGAACACTGGTGCAGTTCCTGTTTCCAGCCAGTGCGAGCCGTGGGCGGTGGCAGGGACATGCCCCTGGGTGGTCCTGGGCAGCAAAGACCTGGGCTGAGGGAGAGGCCGGGTCCCCCTGGGCGGTCTTATCTAGGCTGTGTGGCTGTCCCTCAGCTTCCCTCGAAGACCCAGGACCCTGTCACGGTCTCCCACGCAGCACCTGAGCAGGGAGGCCCCTGCACTGGCTGCTCCTGGCCCGCCCGGCCTGGGCGCTCTGCCGGCACTGCCTTCGGCTCACACCAGCAGAGGGAGGGGAGGCCCCGGCCAGGCCCTACGGTCTTTCCAAGCCTCAGTTTCCTCATCTGCAAAATGGGCGTGCCATCACTGCCCCACAGGAAGGGTGGGAGGACGTGGAGGACGAGGAAGTGACGTGAAAACACGATAGGAAAGAGATGAAACCGCCACCCTCCATGGCTGGGCAGGAGACAGGAGCCATGTCTCATTGGCTGACAGCCTTGGTGCCGCCTGTCACCGCCACCCTCCTGGTGGCTCTGGGACAAAGGGAAGCTGAGGCTCGGCCATGCGGGTTCCCAGCTGTGCAGGTCCCTGGCCTCGAGGGCCCCTGGCCGTGTGTCATGACTTTAATGAGCGTCATGGGTGCCAGCTGCCCTGGGCGAGTGAGGGGGTGACGGAGCTCAGAGTGTCAGGTCAATGCCCGATCTCAGGGTCCGTGTGGGGTGTTGTGTCTTTCCCCGACCCGCATACTGTCCCCGTAATACTGGCCAGTGCCAGCTGTTGATGGCAGAGCTGTGCTTGGGTCTCGGCTTGGCTTCCTCCCTTGACCCCCTCCCCACGGCCTGTCAGTGCCCCCTCAGGTGCAGCCGGGCCCTCGGGTCCTAAGGGTGCTGGCAGGAGAAGCCCTGGATCTGAACTGCGTGGCTGAGGGCAACCCGGAGCCCCAGCTCAGCTGGTCCAAGGACGGGGTCTCCCTGTGGGGTGGGGGGCCCGAGGGCTCCGTCCACTTCGCAGCCATCGAGACCTCCGATGCCGGGACGTACCGCTGCGAGGCCTCCAGCAGCGCCGGGGTAGACGCCTGGGAGCTGGAGCTCAGGGTGTTGGGTGAGCCCCCGGGCCCCTCCCCAGCCGCTGGGGCGCTGGGCTCTGTTGAGGGTGGACCCTTGTGCCGGAGAGCTCAGGGGGGGCCTGCGCTGCTCTGTGGGGGCCAATCATGTGACAGCCCTGCTAGCCCTGATCACACACCCCCCAGGAGACTGAGGGGTTCTGGAAGGACATGCTCCCCTCGCTGCACCCAGCCCACTAACCCTGGACCCTGCTGGGAGCTGCAGGCATTGGGCTAGGGATGTGAGTATGGGCTGTCATTTGTCCCCAGAGCCACCACACTGGGGCGCCAACGAGACCAGTGGCCTGCTGGAGCGTGTGGCTGGAGAGGATGCCAGCCTGCCGTGCCCTGCCAGAGGTAAGGCTAAGCCCAGAGCAGAGAGAAGCCCGTGCCTGCCCTCTGGCACCCTGGGTCTCACACTGGGCAGTGCCCTCCAGCTATGGAGGGTGTGGGTCCTCACCCCTCACCAGGCATTTCAGCCTATGCACAACCCTACAGGATGGGTATCAACATTTGCTCCCGTTCATTAGGACAGCCCAGGCCCAGAGCGGGCACGCAATTTGCCTAAGGTCACGCAGCCAGGAAGCGACTTATAGTATGGTTTGGATTGACCCTAGCCCTGCCTGCCTTTTATGCCCTGCACCCCTCAGCACCTGGGGGGTGGCAGCTGGGGGGGCCCTTGCCTGTTGAGGATATGTGGTCCCTGTCACCCCCAAGCCTCAGACTCTCTCAAAGGATGAGTTCACATGGTCCCGGGCAAGCCAGTGTCTGGGGCCCAGACAGCCACCTCTGCCAGTGCCTGGCCCTGCCTGGCTGTGCCCTTGGGCAGCCCACACTTCCTTCCTGAGGCTATTTCCTCATCCTCAGGGGGCAGGCCAGCCGGCCAGTGGGAGGCTGCTGTGTGCACTCAGGGGGGCTCCAGGCCTGCACTCGGGGAGGCCCCACAGGCACACGCCCCACCTGCCTCTGTCTGCCGCAGTTTCTTTCGGCCTCGGGGCTTCACCTAGAGAGTGTCCCGCTCCCTGAGGACAAGCGGTCCCCCTGTGTGGTTGGGGTTCCCAGGGCTGCAATGGCTGGAGCTCCCCCAAGCCGCCCCGCCCCCCAGCTGCCTCTAGGCTCAGCTGTTCCCTCAAGCCCAAGGTGCCAGGGAAGTCCCTGGCCGGGACCAAGGGAGGGACAGGAGGAGCAGGGCTGGCATCTACAGTGCTGGAGGCAGGCACTGTGTGGGAGCTCTGGGGCCCCTCCAGCCCCGGTCCTCAGAGCTGCCCTCTGGGGGGGCTCCAAGGTCCCAGCTCCATCATGGCGCCACCTGGTGCCAGCTTCGGGTAACAGCAAGCAGCTGTTCTGTGTCCTAGGGAGGCAGGATGGGGAGGTGGGAGGTTGGGGGGGTGGTGAGCCCCACAGCATCCTCCTTTGGACCTGGTCAGGCAGGAGCCTGTCCTCTGGACTAGACTTCAGCCTCTCCAGTAACACTGCCTCCCAGGCTGCCCGGCCTCCTTTTTGAGCTGGCACCACCTGGTGGGCAGAGCCAGGCGCCGTCTCCTGGGCCCCCAATGCTGGGCCAGGAGGGCTCTGGGGGCCTAGGGGACTGCCCAGTCCAGCACCTAGCCCATGGGGAGCCCTGACAGGTGACGCTCCCCATTTCCTCATGAGATGGAATGGGAAGGCCAAGAACTGGCACCCACACGCTGGTGACTTTGAGCTCCTGGTCCACCTCCGCACGGTGGGGACAGCAAGGTGGAATGAGAGGTTCCCGAGCTCCAGGCTTCTGGCACTCAGAGCTCTTTCAGGGCAGGGTTTGGGCACTCAGAAAGGGTCTCTAGGGCTGGCAGGTGGCATGGTGGCTCAGGTGCTGGGCTCCCACGTGGCCCACCTGGCAGCTTGAAACTCAACCAGGCACATGTGTGTGCCCAAATCTCTAGAGGGGGTGAAGAAGGGATTGGGGCGTGGCCATCCCGTCAAGTGGGGTGCTTTCTTGATTTCTGTCTCTCTCTCCCTCCAGCAGGCACACATGCCCTATAGCAAAAGTATCTCTAAAAATCGTCTCCTGAGTTGAAATTTGGTGCCCCCTTGGGCCAGCAGCTCTGAAGGCTTCATCCCGTGGGTGGGGGCTCTCGAGAAACTGAAAGAGCTGGGGGGCTGTTGTGAGTGTGTGTGCACCACGTGACATGTGTGTGCAGTGTGTGGGGTGTGTGTGCATGGTATATACGGTGTGTGTGCGTGGGGTGTGGGTGTGCATGTATACAGTGTGTCTATATGGTGTATGGGGTGTGGGTGTGCATGTATATAGTGTGTCTATATGGTGTGTGGGGTGTGTGTGGGGTGTGGTGTGCATTAAGTATACAGAGTGTGTATATGGTGTGTGGGGTGTGTGTGGGTGTGCATGGAGTATACAGTGTGTGTATATGGTGTGTGGGATGGGTGTGGGTGTGCATGGAGTATACAGAGTGTGTATATGGTGTGTGGGGTGTGTGTGTATACAGTGTGTGTATATGGTGTGTGGGGTGTGGGTGTGCATGGAGTATACAGTGTGTGTATATGGTGTGTGGGATGTGGGTGTGCATGGAGTATACAGAGTGTGTATATGGTGTATGGGGTGTGGGTGTGCATGGAGTATACAGTGTGTGTATATGGTGTGTGTGTATACAGAGTGTGTATATGGTGTATGGGGTGTGGGTGTGCATGGAGTATACAGTGTGTGTATATGGT